AATATTTCTTGGTATATTGTCCAATTTGATTTTCAGCCGTACAATCACAGAGTGTTTTGTAAATGCAGCAAAAATATGCATCCAACAACACATCACAACCAAATATCCTAAATACAATGAAATAATGCAAAAAAATTACAAAAAATATATATGGATACACAAAACCCTGAATTAGGAAGTAGTAACACATAAGATAATACAACTCAACAACTCATTAAACCAATAACAGTACCAGAAGTACAAGACACTCTTAAAAAGACAAAAACAAAGGTTCCAGGACATGACAAAATACAATATATACTTATCAAAAAATGTACACCAAGATTGTACGACCATCTAACTCCTATAATTAATCTATCCCTAAAATCAGGTTACATACCAACTGCTTGGAAGCTAGTGAATGTTTTAATGTTTCTAAAAGAAGAAAAGCCAGCAATTAAACCAGAAAGCTATATACCAATCATCCTAATCAACTTTATTGGAAATATACTAGAAAAAATCAACAGTTCAAGACTTTTGGCGTATCTCGAACTTACATCAAAATTACGTGAAATATAAAACAGATTCAGGAAAAAAAATACAAACAATAGACCATTTAGTGAATCTCACAGAAACCATAGTAGATATTTTTAACCGATGTTGAGAAAGCATTCGACACTGTATGACACAATAGACTAAAATATTTAATGACACAAATGAAACTACTGTGAAATGTTATTCGCTAGCTCTCCAACTTTCTAGACAATAGGAAAACTAGAATTAGTGTATCGGGCACCTTCTCAGAGTACTCTACTCCAGAGTCAGGTGTTCCAAAATGAGGGGTAGTTAACCCTATTCTATTCATCATATGGGTGAAATGCCACTGTCTGATCCAAATTCCTGCTTCTGCTCCGAGTTTGTTGATGATGTGGTTATCAGAAAGATCTCCTATACTCCAACCATAGCAGTAACAAATTTACAACCATGGTTAAATAAATGATGTAGAAAACTACTGCAACAAATGGAGAATCAAGATAAACACCCATAAAACATAAATTATATTATTCACAAAATCAAAAAAGAAGAGCGAACAATCCCCAAAATTATACCACTTTGGAACTTTTCTCCAGGTAACCACGTCAACCAAATTCTAAGTTAAATTGGACTAAACATATAAATGAAATTAGAAACAAAATCTAGCAAATAGCAAATTACGTACGACATCTGACTGGCAACAACAGGGACACAACAACCAAAAATATTGTCAAAATCTATAAAACTTACATACGTCCAGTGGTAGAGTAACCCTGCTCAGCATGGTTTAATGTAACCAAAACATAGATACAAAATTCGATAATCACTAAAGCATACAGAGGTCTTAGATACACAATCACAACCTTCTTATACAATTATGCAAATATCCCTGTGTTGTCAAATATACTTAAAAATGGATCAACAGATTACTTCCACAAAAATCATAACAAAAATGCATCATTAAAAATGCTGAAAACTTTATCATACATGATGAAAATAGACCTAAGCACCTCTCACCACTAAATCTAGTAAATTCTTTATGTAACCTATGGCTGTCTACTACTTGGTAGACCGATAGCTAGATATAGTGTTAAGTTTACTTTGAAAGGGTTTTTTATATGTACAAATCAGATTAGTGCTGTGTGTTTTACATTGGTATGTATAGAACTGTTTGTGTGAATCAAACTTTATGCTGACAACCAACGAAAAGAACAGAAGTATATACCAGAAAACATGAAAAATCTACGTTGTACATTCCTGGTCATGGCCAAATTCTATCAATGAATTAATGTGGGCTTCATCCACAAACCAAATCAACAGTCAAGAATGGAGGTAGGTGGTGTCCAGAGTGTAACTGGTCCTCCCAAGTCACTTGATGAAACAACGATCAATGAAAATGTGTGTACTGCATTATAATGTTTTCCCCGTGAAGATTTTTGAAGTGTCAAAATGTACCTGCTCTCTAAAAACCACTAATAACTGTTATACCTATTATTCCATTTAAGCCTACTGTGAATTACCAGCGAGCTCTGTTACTTGTCAAGCAGCTTTGTCTGGCACACAGAAGACCCACCTAAAGAAGCATTTAAACAAAAGAGACAATTATTCAACAAAAGTAACTTTTACTGTGATTAATTAGACAATAAAACAAATCCAAAAAACATGACAAAGAATAACTGTGAAGTGCACATGGTCATTGTGCGCATTCTCATTAAGATGCAATAACAAAATTTAAAATGAAGACAAATGTCTTCATTTCTTCAAGTCCAAGTTTAATGGGCAGTGCCTTTAGGCTCGTCATTGGAGCTTTGACTTTACTGCCAGTTACACCAAACTTATTTAGTTGAGGAAAGCCACTAACTCGAGGAGATTTACAGTTAGACTAAAGAAAACGATTCTGAGAGTGAGATTTCACAAAATACATCAATTTTATTTTACTTCTTACATATAACATACACTCTTTTATTAACAATCAGTTAGTTTTCAATAACCAAACTATTCACCTATAAGATACTCAACCTTATTGCAGATACCAACCTTTTTTATATAACTCACTTCACTATTTTATTGTAAACTATATTGATTGAACAAGAGAAATAGCTATCTTACTTAGGTCAAAACTGAGGAGGTGTTCCATTGTAAATTAAATATCTTCATCATCTCGGCTTTCTTTTTTTCAGAACTTCATGCAGGTTATCTGTCTTCTATAACTGCCATGGAGAACTGAAAATAAAATGGAAACGAATAGAGATTTTTTTGAAAAAAGCTGATAACACAAACATCAACTGATATAAGACATATTAAAAGAAAATATGTTTTTCAGCATATTTAAGTACACCATACAACGAAGTTAAACCAACTTAAATTAAAATTATTGGAATCTACAGAAATAACTTAGTGTATCACAAAGTGTTAGGAATATCTTAAATAATCTGACCCAAAAAAAAAGAAATTACAAAAACTGTAGTAAAAAGAAATAAAACAACTGAGTAAGCTTGCCATATTTGATTTATAGCAAGCATTTGCAAGTTGCAAGAAAAGTAAAAAAAAACAAAAAACTGAGAGTCACTTTTCTAAGTTCTTCGACTGAACATTATCGGTATTTGGTTGCTGTGCAAGACCTGGGAGGGTCAAGTTCACTCCCGACTTCTTCCTCCCTCCTTTACTGTTGTTAATGAACTTCAAATTGCTATATGTTTAATCCAAAAATCACTGAACACTTGAACATTGATTTATTTCCCTAACGTCACTTTTTTCACTAGAAATAATTATCAATGCGCGTATTTCACACACACACACACACACATACATATTTATATAAATGTTTATCAAAATAATGGAGCGAGCAATCTACCAGTCTGTCTTTAGTTGGTTTGATGTCTGCGTATTTATGCATGAAAGTAGTATTTGTTGATCTTGGTACTCTGTAGGCTGTTTTGATTATTCTGTTCTGTATTGTCTGTAATTTCGTTATGCATGTTGGTGCTGCACTTATTCAAGCAGGATAAGCATATTCCATTAATGGTCTAATATACTGTTTGTAAATGTTGATTATGTTTTCTTGTGTGGCTCCTGTGTTTGTACCAGTTAATCGTCTGGTATTGTTTGCTCGTTGCCATGTCTTATTTCTAATTTGGGTAATATGTTTATTCCACGTTAATTTTGAATATTAAGTTATACTATACCTAAAAATTTTGATGATGGGACAACATTTAGAAGAGCTCCGTTTAAGTATATTTTGGGAGGATTTATTACTGTTTTAGTCGATTTTGAAAAGAGAACAGGATTTGTTTTAGGTACATTTATTTTTATCCTATATTTCAGATAGTATTCAACAGGTTGGTTTAGAACAGGCTGTAGATTTGTAGCCCATATCGAAGGAGTTGATGAATTATTCCAAATCGCCACATCGTCCGCAAATTGTGATGTTAAACTAAAATTAGATTCACTTAATGGCATGTCGCTTACATACACGATGAAAAGGATTGGGCTAACTAACCCTTCTTGTTGAACGCCTGCTTCCGGAGTAAAATACTCTGAGTAGGTGCCTACCAAATTTATTCTGCATTTTCTAGTTTCTAAGAGGTTAGACAACCAGCGAATAATACCTGTTAGTAATTCCAATTATTTTAATTTATATTTTATACCATTATGCTATACAGTGTCAAAGGCTTCCTCTATATCAAGAAAGCAGGCGATATTGCATTTCTTATGATCAAAGCTATCTATTATGGTTTCGATTAACATAACCAAATAATCTGTTGTTGCCGAAATTTTCTGAAACCATTTTGAACTTCGGGTAATTTTAATGATCTCCAGAAATGTTGAGGTCATACTGCTAATAATTTTGTCTACACAACTAGTTAGACTAATTGGCCGTTAACTTCTAGTTTATTCACTGGTTTTTCTTCCTTTGGAAACATAATAACACTTTCTTGCTTCCAAGAAACTGAGATGTAGCCATAGTTTAGAGATAAATTAAACAATGCTGTTAAATAGTCAAACAATCTATGAGGGCCTTTTAAAAGGATAATGACTTGTATTCCATCCTCACCTGGAGCTTCATTTTTGGTTTGTCTTATAGATGTAACCACTTCTATTTTTGTTATAAGTCTGTGTTATTTTACTTGCATAATCATTATTGTTTAATTTTGTGGATTTGTTATTATTACTGGGTTTCTGACTTAAGTGATAGCTATTATTCATTAAAATTCGCGGTACTGTAATGTTTTTCTCTAATGATATGTGCTGCCGTTAGTTTTCTCCCTCTCCACTTATTTCTTTTACGTGTAAAGCAATGGGTTAAATATACATTTTGATGCAAGTTTATGGCGCTAATTTTTGGTATTTTAACTTCCAAAAATATAATATATTGAAGTATGATATATGAATAAATTAAATTTCTTTGCCCTTGTCAGGTATTTATAAAAACAGCTAATATTAAAACCGCTAGGTATGAAAATAAACTTACGTCACGGTCATGTTAACATATGAATTTTGTGGAAGTACGAAGTTTGTCAGAAAGTATTTAGTTTGAAGCATTAAAAGCACCTGTTCGGAAACTTAAATATAGTAAAATTGTTTCGTTGTTCATCACAGACTTATATATATATATATATAAAAATGTCGGAATCGTACGGTGAGAGCTAATATATTTTATTATAAGTTAGGTTTAAATAGGCTATTACTATTAGTATTAATTTGCTACTACTACTTATTACTATTAGTTTCACTGCTACTGCTAGTTATAATTTATACAGGGACAACTTCAGGCCAGTGACTGTAAGTGTAATTTTTATTTATTAAACGTGGTGAATAAGTCGATGTGCTTTTTTAAATGTTTTCTCAGTACACACAGTAGAAGAAAGATCTAATAGTAATACTACTAGTAACTAAGTGAGTGAAAGTGTTACCATTATGAAGAGAATGTCAATACAGAACTAAATCATGGTATCAAGTAAAAATCCGTAAAAAGGTTAATAGCGTCTAAAACAATGGTTCCTATATTTTTGAGCATCTTATTTTTTCTCCAATTTTTTATATACATAGTTTAATACAAAATGGTAAAATATGTTTATGAAAGTGTGGTTATTTAGGCAGGGGTATATCTGGAATTTAGAAATTTTGATGGATGGGCCAAAAGCCCATTCAATCACAAAATCATGGCCAGGGGATCCAGGGCAATGTCCTTATAACAGATCAAGAACAGCAAAGCCCTCAAACCAAATTAATTTTAAGCAATTTTAAAAGCAATATTGACAAAGATGATTATTTCACATGAAATTTTTGTAATTAACAGTGAACAAAATTCTTTATGTTTATCAAGTGTTCACTAATTCAATTCATGTTTTCATTTTGTATAACTTAAGAAAATGAATTCAAAATATAAATGTTGGTGATGTATAAACTATAATAAATAAACAAATATATATACTTATTGACAGTTAGAAAATCAACATATTTGAGGTGTTAACTTTTTTCAAAAAGAGCAACAAAACTTGATATTCACTCACTGGGATACCTTCTTTTGCCATGCTGTAAACCACTATCATAGTGGCAGTACCCGCCTTCTGTTCTTCACTGAAAAATTTTTTTACAGCTACTTGCAGATTTTCATTTTCTTTGCTTGATTGCTTGTGTCCTTTAATTCATATGTGTTTTGTCAGTGTTGATGTTTTGGAATTATCCATACCTACTGACATCATATTCTTAAATTCTAACTTTCTGCAAAGTTTGCAATACATTTTATTGCTATCATAATCATTAAAAAGCCAAGAACCTCACAAGTTAGGGTTGCTTGTTTACCATAAGCACAATTTCTTTGTGATAAACATTTTCCCCCCCAATATGTAAGTTATAAACTTTTATCTTGTGTAATCTCATCTTGCCAGTTTTCAATTCATATAGCATTCAAGTGTTGTGATGACTTTACTCAAGTCAACCAGTAAAATTGTGTACTACTAACCAAAATGCACAATCCAAAAATATGAAAGTGTGAGATGCAGTAAGGGAAATATTCTTTTGCCAGTTTTCATTTTATGTGCTGAAGTGATGCATAGAATGAATTTTTTCGTACAATTTTATATTTATATGCTCGATATCTCAAATGCACAGTCAGTTCATTCTCTTTATGAGTTATAGTTTGGATTTTGCAGAGATTAGTTGTTTTTTACATGATTTTGTGTGCATCAGCTAAATTGGAAAAAATGATTTATTTTTGAATAGTCACAACTAAGAATCAGACTAAACTATTTGGAGGCCTTCTGTTTAGTGGTACTGTATGTGTCAGGATTAATATAAGATTTTATAAGAGTACCAGCATCTTGCAAACAGAAAAATTAAGCACAATTTTCTTAAAAGTAGGAAAATTTAAACATGAAAACTAGCTTTTTTTGTTGGAAAATTATAATTTCAAATCCTGAAAAATTAATTAATATTTGAACTACTTTAGATGTATTTAGTTTTAATCACACAAAATCATGAATACCAAATGGTAACTGAATTTTTTTTTGGAAACTGGAAAAACAGTTGAAATTAAGTATTTGCATTTATTAAGACTGAGAATGAGGCATTTGATAAGGATTTTACTAAAAATTATAAATTTCTAAAAATTCAAAGTCTATAGTGAATTTGTATGAAACATATTAAGTGTTAAATGAATTCTAATTTAGCCTATTTAAAACAAGGACAACAGTTTGTGACCAGTGAAGCTTGAGGAGTACTTAACAGAGCACACATTTTTCATATTTTCATAATTTCATTAATGTTTTTCATAAAACAGCGAATTGAAATTTGAAAGACTAGCTTTCATAATATATAATTGATTAGTCTTCTACATTTTTAAATGTTTCACTAATAATATGATAAAACAAGTCTATTTTATCACCATTTGAAAACAAAAATATATTTGGGTAGACAATGCTTAAACTTTCATCAGGCATGCCTGATTTTGTGTACCAGTTGATACACCACATTTTTCTCATCAACATGAACTAGTAGTTCTGAAAATAGAAACAATTGAATGGTGAGAGTTATTAATAAGTGCAGATGACTCAAGGATCATTTGTATGAATGGTCACAATATAGTAGACAAAAAGCATGAAACTACTGATTGTATGGCCCTGGTGGATTGTGTAGGCCCTACTTTCAAAGAAACCCTGAATAAGCCTATGTTAGTCCTATGTGTCTAACATGTATTACAACTACTTACTTCTTACAGACATCATAAAGATTCTTTAATTTTTACTGTTGCAAGATATCTGTGAAGAATTTTCTGTACAATACATGTATATGTTAAAGGAAGTTTTTCGTACAGAAGGTATTATATATATATATTTTTTTTTAGTTTGGAAAGAAATACACATGGCTGGAGAATGCATCATGTATTCGTTAATACATTATATTTTAAGTGGATAGTAACATATTTACTTAAAGCTCTTCAGCACATGATATCTGTTTGTTTCTCTCTTAAAAGTAGTAGCTGATTGGCAGTCATATTTATTATGAGGATTACCTGCATAAGATTAAGAAGATAGATAGTGTCAAACTGGTTGTTATTAAACAATGCCATGTTCAACTCGACTTGAAGTTTGTCCTGGTAGAAATGAATTATGCTGTTCTACCTTTCTGGTTTACATCAAAATATTTCTTTCTGGAAGTAGTTTGCAGCTCTCCTTCTTTAATGAGAAAGCATATATTTAATTTGGCTATAGAAATATAACTATAAGTGATAATTATTATTGCAAACTACTAATTTCAACTTGTAACTTACATAATAGGGTTCACACTGTATACATAGGAAATCTTTGAAAGCTACAACTGAATAGATTGGATACAACAGTGATTATAATGAATTATGATTGAAAATGTTATGAGTCATTGAAAAAAAACAACCTTTCTGGAATGGTAAAACTTTAACTGACCATTGACCATTACTAGCTTGAAAATTAAGATGTATGTTGGAAATTTCTATTTTCTGAGACAATACACACCTCTACACACAACTAAGCTATCTTTCCCATATGTCTGCCTTAGTGATTTGCAATGCCAATTTGCATTTGCATGTGAATTTTGCTACTGCATAATGACATTTTTATGCAGCAAAAGCTCTCCACCAGTAGAAGGGTGACACACCTCCTTGCACACTAACTCCCTCTTATGCTTTTGCATTCATAGATATTCATTCTTTTCATTGGCACTGAACACATCAGACATGTTTTTTCTTTTTCAATCTAACAAGATTTGCAATGTTTATTGAACTTAATTTCCTTCATTTTTCTACAATCTAGGAACAACTAGTTCATGTAACTTCTTCTAGTACTTGCATGGGTGAATAGTTTCCTCACACAGGTTATATAATGACTATGGCTGATGGAGGCGTTTTCTTTGGGGATAAAGTGATGACCCTTGTGCTTTATGCAGCCAGAACCTTCAGCTGCACTCTCTTCTTCAGGCATTCCTTCCACTCATTTGAGGGGAGAATGAGGAGGAAAAACTTGATTGTTTTCTTCTCCTGGTTATGCTTTGGAAACTTCTTTCTCTGTTGAAGATAAACCTTAAACTTTCTTGCATTATTAGGATTTAATTTCCCAGGTAAGCACCATTTTTTCTCTTTCATTTTTTTTCATATTGTTATTCTTGTTCCCTACTTCTTAATCCAAACTCTTAAATAATTTGTTTACCTTCTCCTTGACCAATTATGCTCCTGCAACCTTAAGTCTCACTCTCTCTATCTAACTGACTCTTATATCCTTGATTTTAGTCATTCTGAATCCTCTTTTGCAATTCCCATGTTTGGGATTGCCCTTGCCTGATTTTTCTGGGGGTCATAATGTTTGGTGTCAGTTTTGCCCCTATATGCCCAATATCTGTGTCTTCACCTTATTCTTTTTACTATACTTCTTTACCTCTCCTCTCTACACTTCAAGTCTGAGGCACACCACTGTGCCCAGAGAAATTTGCAGGTGATTTTCTTTCCCATCACTTCTCCACTGTAGCCTGTTCTACTTGTACCATTTCCCTGCTCACTCTGCTCATTCTTGCAGGGAATTGTTGGGTGGTATTCCAAGTTTGACTTCTGTTTTCTCTTCTACAAGATCTTAACCTGGACCCTTTTGTTTATTCTGAAGTTTTGGAGGTATTCCTGATTTGATTGAATTGCAGGCTGACACTGCCCATCATTATTACTTGCTTTCATCTCTTGTTTCCACACTGTTCCAACCTCAACCCTCTACCATTGTAATTCAACTTAGTCCTCAGTTTTCCATCTTTGATTCTCACTTCCCAGCTTTCTTCTTCTACCCAGTGTCAGATTTGTCGAGCTTGTCAGTGGCAATTAAGTTGAGTCAGTTCCTGTGAGTGCCCAGCTGTCATGGTTTGAGCTTCTGTGGTCACCCCTTTTTTCATCCTGCACACTCTTACCCAGTCTCCTATTGAGCCATTGGCAAACTTCAACCTATACCACCTTTCTCTTATCACATATTTCATCTTACTTCTTGCCTGGCCACCATTGTTCAACTATCTATGCTATTGACTTTTCCATATCTCCTTTCCATCAATCTTTCCATACATTTTTTTTTATCCAAAGTCTTCAGCTTCACAGGAAGGAGATCAGTCCTTTTCTCCTGTCTCTCTTTCTTCTATTCCAGACCTCTAAGATCAGTCATACCCATACAGACTTTGTGCCTTGTTCATGCATTTGTTCCTAATTAGCTTGTACCTCTCAATTTCATAGCTCTTGTCTTTGACTCTACATTTCCTGCAGTTTCTCTTCCTCCAGAGATATATTTCCTTCTACCCTTACAGGTAGGGTCCATCAATTTCTATGTTTGGTCTACTCCTCATTGGGGGTTGGTGCTTACAGATGGTTCCATATTTCATCCCATCAGATTTGTCACCTCACTCATTCTCTTACCTCTAATATTCGATGGCCTCTGGACAAGATCCTTCATGCTGGCATGTGGACTACCTCTCACACCTTCATTGCCCACTGTCTTCACCATCTGGCTATTTCACTTCTTAAAGGTTACCCCTGTCTTCATTCACTATCATGCTTACAGGATCCTATTAGATGAATGGTGGTACCTCCTAGGGTATACTTATTTCCCAAAATTCTGCATTGATCTAGGATAATATAAAGCACTCATACCATCCACCCTGGCTCCATATATGCCCACTTTTTATATTGGGTGTTCCACAAAACTGCTTGAGATATCTTTGTAGTATAATTATATATCTCACTACTGTATGATACAAACCATACCTATTCCATGGACTATCATGGAAAAACCAACACCAGGGGGTAATCTGTTTGCTTCCCAGGCTTTTAAAAATAGGGAATGTGGTCACCTGTTGCATGGTCTCTCATAAAAGACATTTCTGTGTCAATTGTGCTCTCCTTCTGCAGCTGATGTCTGTTCTGTTGAGTTGAGGGAAGCACACACACCATTCCACACTCAATGGCATGAAATCTGTGCCCTTCTTCTGCAGTAGGTGTCAGTCCATTATTGTGACAGTAGAGTCAAGGTGAACACTGGTACGGTCTTAATGTCCCCCAACCATGCAATACATATTGGCTCTCCGACCTCTTCTGTGCAAGTAATTGGATGGCCATGTTCTTATTCTGCCCATTCCTTTTTCCTTGGCAAAGAGTATGAGTATAACCTGTAAGAGATGAGATGTAGTCTCCCACAAGTGTGCCTTTATGGAGTTCCTGCCATCAGGTTTCAAACTCCATGAGTTTCCTTGAGATGCTTTTTGAAGGGAACACATCTAGGTAAATCTTTGCACTAGCCCTTCCACCACTTCAATATGGGATTCTAGCTTAATTGTGTGAAGAGGGTGTATTGTCTTGGAAGTTAACATTTTCTTTATTGGAAATTGTATTTCCGATAGATACTCAACCTCCTCACACACATTCTCACTTCCAGTGCACCTTAGTATTCCATGCCTTGTCAAAGAATGAAGATTCATGAGTGCAAAAGCCTAGAGGGAGTTAGTGTGGAAGGAGGAGTGTTGCCCTCTTGTTGGTTGAGGGCTTTTTCTGCATAATGTTATTATGCAGTAGTGCAATTTACAAGAAATCTAGTGATATTAGGTGGGAGTTGCCTAAAGACTAGTGGCATGCAAATCTCTAAGGCAGACACATGGAGAATATTGCTTAATTGTGTCAAGAGGTGAGTAGCTATTGGAAATTTACTTGCAGGTAAGAAAAATGTTAACTTTAACATTGATAACATTTAGTAAAGCTATTCTAATCATACTTGCTTAAAAACTGATCAGTTTTCAAAACTAGATGCACTGTGACTAACTGGAGCCATAGTCATTCCATCAGGATTTGGTTGTGTAAATATGGTGGGATTTTTTAGGGTAGAGGGTAGGGTAGTGGTTATTACCCATTACAAAGAAATTGTCTTTGAAAGAATCAGGTAAGTTCAGAGATTTATTGCATTTATGTAAAAATTATGAATCAAAATAATCAGGAAATTATTTCACTTAGAACTGTCAATAATAAGAAAGTTTCAAACTTAGAGGTATTTGTATTTTTTACCCCAGTGGCAAATATTTTCTGGCTGAAACAGTGTTTAGAACCCTATAACAAATACATATTTAATTATTTTAAATTTAATTCCTCTAAATGTGCACAAAATATCTCAAAAACTGCAATCCTCTTGTTTTTGATCAATAGAAAAAAAAATGTTCTTTATATTTCAGATTTTCTCTTCAAGTTCTTGGTTATTGGAAGTGCAGGTACTGGCAAGTCCTGCTTACTTCATCAGTTTATTGAAAATAAATGTAAGTTTGCTATGTTCATTAAGTGGCTAATAGGTTTCTTAGCCTAATTTTAATAAATCTTTATCTTGGACGTGTTTTTTAAAATATGATTTTTATATTTTTCTAAGATATGTAAACACATTTTTAGTACAGTTAATTCTTTTATACTGAGAAATTACACTTAACTATTCATACATAATACTTATATCTGTAAAGCACCAAACTTTAAAAGTTTATGACTTATACATTTCAGACTAATAAAGATAAAAATTACTATGTACAGCACTTGATAGGAGTATGCTGTTTTCAGTTACCAAAATATTGAAATAATTCATGATATTTAAGCAAGTATATAAAGTAGAGCTAGGTGATTAACTCAAATAATTGAAATAATCGATTACTTATGAGCATTGATTAGTGTTGCATAATATACTAAATTTATAAAAATTACAATTAAATCACTTGTCATTTAAAATCAACTTACTGAAATTATTGTTTGATTATTACTGTTTGTAATTATTTCATCTATTCAAATAGATTATTGCCATTATGATTTCTCATTATTATTTTTTATTTATTTTGAGGTTGTTCAGCTTAAACAGTTGGTGTTGCAACTCATGAAAATAATTAAAACTAGTATTTTTGATTATTATTATTATTTTCAACTATCCAAGTCTCATGTGAAAATAATTAATTAGTTGAATATAATGAATTAATGAGCCTAACAATTAATCAGTTATGAAATTCCACTAATTGCTCAGCTTTAATATAAAGTACGTTAATTATCAATCAACTTTGATCTTGCATTTAATTTATGATTACTTGAAAGAGATCACTGAAAAAAATTTGGTTAACAGTTAAAGCTGAGTCCAATCACACAATTGGTGTTGAGTTTGGGTCGAAAGTAGTGAATGTCGGAGGTCGATCAGTCAAGCTACAGATATGGGACACAGCAGGCCAGGAACGTTTCAGGTTAGGTTGTTTATTTCTTCACACCTCAGTAACATTTCCTGTAATAGGTGCATTTTTTTGTCCCAGAAATTTGTACATTGTAAACCTTTTTTTTTTTTTGACAATTTTCAACTGAATTTTGTCAAGCTTTGTTATTAAGGTTGCCTATGATGTAGACATTATACAGGGAAAGACTTTGTTGCATATAGGTGCTTAGCCCAGCACTAAAACAGTGGAATCAATGTGTGATTTTGTGGTTATAACTATCCTGTCAACCCCTACCCCATATGTGAACCTGATAAAGTAAATTTTTTAATAAAAAAAACATCAAAATACCTCATAATATGTAATGCTTTAAAATTCAATTCAATATATCTTTAAAGGATGTAATGCAAAAGTCTGGTAAAAATTATGAGAACAAACACTTGATAAAATGATTTTCAAGAAATTTTTCTTGAGTCAGAACAGCTGAAGTTCTGTTGGTGCTTTGTGAAAAGTTATATACTGGGTAAACATTTTAAACTTGCTTTTTTCATGATTACTTAAGGATTAGAAAACAAACTTTAAATCAGTGCATGTGAAAGTTCACTGAATTGGAGAATACATCAAAGGTGACAATTTATCATTCCTTTGTCAATGGGCAGATGTCGCTACTTGAGTTTCGCTAGTAGAGTACTAAACTAAAAGTTTTATACAATAGCAATGATAACTATAATCAACATGAAAAGGTAAAATTTATATGAAGTAATTGCAACCTGCCTAAGTCTGCTCCAGTACATATATAATAAAAAAATTGCTATTATCATTCAAATGAGATACACATACAACTCCTTTAAACTGAATTTTTAAGAAGTATTTTTCTGTTTTGTATAATCAGAACCTTTTGTTGTTTTTAATGGAATTTCATCAAATATTGTTGGAATTATCCATAACCTGGAGGCATTTAGATATTTCAGAGTAAAGACAGTTAACTGGAATCTTAAACATTTTCTAATATTTCCATATTGTGTAATAAGTTCTTCCTGAAACATAGGTAATCCTCATGAGCTTATTTTGCATTCAGCCTGTTCATTACAAGAAATTTCTGAAGAGCAACATAGTTTTAGAACATTTGAAAGTTAATTATTTTAAATGACATGAGGCATAAGAAACAAAAATTTTGTTTTTTGTTTGATAAAACTTTAAAATTTGTTTTGTTTGAAAGAGAGAGTCAACCAGTTCATTTTCTGAAAAGGTATGGTGATTGCATTATATACCTATATTTAAACAACACATTTTTATGGTTTTTACATATGTTGACAATTTATAACTAGTTACTGTTTTTAATCACAAGGTTAGCATTTTCATATCCTCTACTGTACAATCATCTCCTCGTTGATCTCACAAAAGTAATAGAATTCAAAGAGATCAATAGTATTGATATGTCTTGTGCTACTTTGTTTTAAGAATTTGTTTAGTCAGATATGTTTTTATCAATTTGTGAAAGTCAAAATCTCTATGAAATAGTTATTCTATTAAGAAATTTAAAAGAGTGCTTTCCTGAAAAAAAAACACAAATGTTAGAATAGTTGTTTCGAATGCAGTACATTACCTGTTTTCACATGTACTGAATTTCCCATTCAGTATTGCTCTCTGTGTGCAAAAAATTGTTCACATGCCATAAGCCTTGAACTCCCACGATCAATATGGTTCATCTGTATTTTGCAACATACCCTCCTGACGCATATGACTCCCTCTATTTGATTCTACCAAACTATCACTTCTCATCAGGCAGTGATCGAGTGGAGATGTTTTTTAGTTGTGCTCTTTTCAGGTGTTAATTTAATATTTTTTTTTGCAAAGTAGTGATTTACTTTATTTATTCATTTGCTACAATTAATTTTTTCTGTATTAGCTTGCAATGAGGGGTTCCAGTCAGATTTGATTTGGTTTGATGTGAACTTGCACAATGGCACATCCCCTCATACTGTTATTCGGGTGTCATGTTCCCGGATGTATGGTTGGTTGTGGATTTGCACATTTGTGCCCTGTTTAGTAGATTAATTTGACATTTATATAATTCCATCTACTCAACTTAAGGTAAAGACGATGTGTACCTTGCTCCTATCATGGATTGTAATCTTGATGCTGCTTGGTTTTGGACTAGAGTTGACTGGTCATGTATGGTCTGTCGTGTCCTAACCACTCTACATCTTGGAGCACATCCATTTTAGATTTTCCCACATTCCTGTCTGTAGATGGTTCTTGTACAGTCTTTCTTCACCGGGATTGAGATTCTAGTATATTATTGTTTGGGTTCAAACCCACCAAGTTTTTCTATCTTATTTGGTTGTGCTCCTCCCACTTTCTGCCCATGTATACAACACCTATTTGTACACTGGGTGCACAGTATACTTAGTACAGAAATGGTGCAGTCTCCCTCATGTGTTTCTCTCCCAATGGGGATCACACTTCATGGGTATTCTTTGAAAGCTTTCGAAGGATACTTATTTCTACCCCTTGCACCACTCCCTCTGCCTATTCAATGTGGGATTCTGAAGTAATGTATCAGAAGTTTTTATTTTCCAATACTGAAAATATATTTCTGATAAGTACTTACCTTCTCTTGCACTTTCCACCATTCCTCCCCACTGAAAACCAGTGCTTTCTTTTCTGCCTAATTTCAAAGTGGTAGTTTGGTAGAATTGAATAGAGGGAGTCACATGCATCAGGCGGGTGTGTCACACTCCTGTTGATGGAGGGCTGTCGCATGATGATTTACATGTAAGACTCAGTTGAACCACATTGATCGTGGGGTACGTGGGAGTTCAAGGTTTGTGGCACGCAAAAAAAAAATATATATATATAGAAGGCAGCACTGAATGATAATAGCTATACATGTGAGAGTGGGTAAGTACCCGTCAAAAATTTATTTTCAGTACAGGAAAATAATAACTTTTGTAACATTTGAAAGTTCCATCATCGAGGAAAAATTTCTCCCTTTTTTGCTTCTTCTAGAGAGAAAAGAGGCACTTATGAGGTGATATTTTGAAGAAAAAAATAATTTTATCTGGAAAACATTTACTTTTTTGTATTTCTTTAAGCTAAAATAATAGAAACAACCATCATGCTAGTTTTGTTTCTTTGTGTTACAGGTCTGTGACTAGGAGTTATTACAGAGGTGCTGCTGGTGCCTTGTTAGTGTATGATATCACCAGGTATGGAATGACAGTTATATTCTTGCTAATAAAATATGTAGTTAAGTTGGTAATAAAAAAAAACATACATGTATGTATGTTGGTCAGTAAAACAGTTTATGGCATCTAAATGGAAGATTTATTTTCTCACGAAAGGATACAAAATTTTTAACACTTTCCAGACTGTAAAGCACTATTCAGGTGTTGAGTGTATATCTGCTTACCAAATTTAAAGCTTAAGTAAAAAAAAATTGATTCTAACCATTGCAACAAATTTTTAACTAAGAATAATCATTGAATTGATACTTATCATTTTGTAACATATCTAGTTCTGTGAGGGAAGCGAGGCAAAGTTGAGTATAAAAATCAGGGTACAAACATTCTTCACATATGTACTATAAATATTAAGCCATACCAGAATGGTAAGTTTCCAATATCAAGGAAAACTTTGTCTGTCTGTGGACACATCTTCTCCTAAATGAATTGATCAATCCAGACCAAACTTGGCATGCTAATTTAGTAGTCCAAAAGCAAATCAGTGTGATTTTAAACTTTCCCACATGTTGGAAATTAAAAATATTTTATAGAATAATCCATTTATAATTACTGCAGTAGTTATTGTAAATAGTTGAGTTTGAAGAAAACCTACACCACAACAAAATTCTAGAAGCCAAAGATTGTAAATAAAATTTTCAGCATTTTGGCTTGTTTCCCTCAATAACCAAAATATACAGTAATAAAATATCCAGCTACAATTGGGAAAATAAAGATATTGCTTCTGTTTAAGTTTCCTGCTCTTTTCTGATTCATATTTTTTAACTTCAGTATATATATTAGGATTAGAATAAGCAATTAACCCTTTCAAGATGGGTCATGGGTGGAAGGCCATGTCATCTCATTTGTTGACTAGCATTCAAAATTTTATTGAACTACTATTTCATGAACTTATGTCATTAAGTTTGGGATGAAGCTGTAGATTATAATTCAAATTTTAGAACTATACATTACTAAATTTCATAATTTAAAAGTAAA